GGGAGGTGGGGAGGGTGCTGGGGGCGAGAGAGTCGGGGAAGAGGGGGCGGGGAGGGACGATTGTGACTAACGTTTATCCATAAGGAGTTAACCAGACAAATTTCCCAATGCATACTCACTCGCTTTTATGGGAAGCGCCCTCGGCAAATAAACCCTGAGATATCAGATTTTGTTTTTCTGTGTGTAGGTAATATGAGAAATGGGTTACAAATTTGTTTCCTACAGTGAATATTTTAATAACCAAAAGTGAAATTTTGCAGGGAACCAAGCCATCTAACGCTGAAGGGATGAATAAACCTGTCTCCTTTTCAAAATGCCGGCCTGATTTGTACTGTGAGTGGGAGTGAAGAACCATCCTTCTTCTGGACAGTGTCTCCCAGGATATTTCAGCAAAGCGAGCTATAGCACTCAGAAGGCAGCTTCAAAGAAGCATTTTATCTGACTTTTCTCCTTGTACGACTATTTAGGAGGATTGACTTTGGAATTTATAATTAAGTCACTTTGTTAAATTCTGAAAAGTCCCATAAAACACCCTATGGTGTTTGTTTGACCTTCCAGTGTAAACAAAGGGGGTGCTGAAGAAACAGCCTTGGGGTTCAGATTCTGGTAAGGACAAGGGAGTAGGAGTGGCCAGGCAAGAATGGGTGGAAGATGGGTTGGAGGTAAGTAATGCCCACTGGAAAGAGATGTTTCATGGAGCAGTTATTCACATAGGAGGAGGAAGGGTTTAGGTAGTGTTGGAAGCATTCAATGAAAAAAAAAAAAAAAAAAAGAATCTTTAACCAGCCTGATTGAAAGCTGTGACTCAAAACCAGGCTTTAATAACCTTTTTATTGGTCTCATCATTGAGATGTTGTCCACATATACTTCATTATTTGTCTGTCACTGTTGGTCTCTGTCTCTCTGTATTTAACCACCACATTAAAAAAATTTTTTTAATGTTTATTTTTGACAGAGAGAGACAGAGCATGAGTTGGGGGTGGGGGCGGGGAGCAGAGAGAGAGAGAGAGAGAGAGAAAGAGAGAGAGAGAGAGAATGAGAATCTGAAGCAGGCTCCAGGCTCTGAGCTGTCAGCACAGAGCCAGATGCAGGGCTCGAACTCACAAGCCACGAGATCATGACCTGAGCTGAAGTCAAACACTCAACCGGCTGAGCCACCCAGGTGCCCCTAATCACCACATTTTGATGATGTGGTGGACAGCTGCTGACTTGAATGCCTACCATCCATCCTTCCTTCCTTGCTTCATTTATTTGTTTATTTTTTTGTTTATTTATTTATTTATTTTCTGGTAAGAGCAACTGTATTTTCCTTTGGTAAAACTCTCCTACTCAACTGCATGGTGGGACTTACTGAGAATTCATGAGAGTTTTGCCACTTCGAGCAATGGCAGTGAGATCCGAGCTTGGCTCATCAAACCATCTCCCTACAATTGGATTATGAGCAGGGGGACACAAGGGTCAAAAATGTTGGAATTCACCCTTCCCACTACTGGAGAAAGTTTCTATGACTTCTTGCTACACAGACTGCCCTTGAGCTGTTTCAGGCCAGTACCTTCAAGAACTGATTCTTCAGCTTTTCCTTACATTTTTCCAGTGTGTGTGTGTGTGTGTGTGTGGCTGTTATGACATGGTCAGAGTCAATTGCTATTATCTCCCACTTAAGAACCATGACTGACACTGAAGGGGGTTGTGATTGGTTCTCTCAGATAATCAGATATCATGACTCTGCACCAAACATGATGGGTTTAGTTCTTTTTGAGTCAGGCTAGATTTGCTCTGCCCATGACTGCACAGCATCCTTGGTTACAAAAGAGTTTCAGATGAACGCTTCCCAGTGGATTGGCAAGTCTATTGCTTATATGATAAAGGCAAAAATGCAAGTGGAAATCCCACTGATGGCAGGTGAACAGTGCCGCATCTCTTTCTGAAAGTCAGAGACATTTTGTAGACTTTCTGCAGTGCTTAAACTATTCAATTTCTCCAACCCCCCTAAGAGAAGATGGATTAAAAAGAAGAAACAGGTGTATATAATTTGGATGGACAGGCCGAATGATGGGGGAAGCAGGAAGGGAGAGAGTATAATTTGTAATTATCTCTCATCTGCCCATGAACAGCTTATTCCTCAGGAAAGAGTCTCATAACTGCCAGTGGTTGACCACACATCGCTGAGGCAAGATCTTTTCTGTGAGATGTGACCGTCGGATTGGCAGACCAGAGCAGCCCTTAATGGGAGGGTAGACAGTTTATGCTGGATGTTGAGTAAAATACTCTTGTTTCCCATCCTGGTGCTCAAATAAGAAAAGCTGTGTATCTTCGGACAGCTGATTTACTTTCTCTGGCTGTTAGTTATCTGTAGGACTCGAGGGTTAACCCAAATTCTCTCTGAAGTGTTTTTCCTAGCTTTAAAACTGCTGATTTTTGTGTGTCTAAGTAATTCCAGCAACTTTCAATTCATTCACTATAATGTTGCATTATGATTATTAATATTTCATTAAATTACTCCTTTAGTTGGACTTGAAAACATTGGATGTATTTTATGTGTGAGTTAGAGTCTGCAGACTATCTTCCCTTTTTATAGATTTCCCTTCACTGAAATTCAGTATACATTTTTGTTTTACAAATATTTCTTGAACACACTTATGCTCTGAAGTGTAATATATCATAATGCTGATTTACACTCATGAATACTCAATGAATGTCAACTGATGCACTCATTTGGAGAATTTATAGCTGAATGAGGGTTATCATTTGTTTCAAATTTGCTCTAACAGACTTAAAAATTCTTATCAGTACAAGTATAAATAACTAGAGTATAAATAACTAGAACAGTAGTGGTATGCAATCTTTATTTTTGGTATTCAATATTTATTTTTATTTTCTTTAAAATACACACATAGTACTTTAGGGGAGAAGACACATTACCCTTTGTCACCCATCCTAATGAGATGTTTACTTAGTTTTCTCTCTTTTCCACTTTCTCTAAACTCTCTGTGACTTAAGACTCAGCCAGGTGAAAACAAACATATGGCTACCACATGGGGGACAATGTAAAGTGTGTGCAAGCCCTATAGGAGACAATCTAGCCACACATTGTGCTCTCTGTTCAATGACAAAACTATTATTCACAAAATTGGAGAAACCACACTTCCTTCTATACACTGAAATAATAACAATAATGACAATCACAACAACAATAACAACAACAACAACAATGGTAGCTACATCAAAATACCTTTAGCATTTTAGTTTTGCTAAGAGCCATATCTGATTCCACTTTGACCTTGGTACTTTCTTTTCGTAGACAGTTCTGCATATGGCATATACCATATGCAGAAGAATGTTGAAATGATACTAATCCTCTTTTTCTATTCTAGGCTATCAAAGTCAAGAATTTATTTTTTTTAAGATTTCATTTTTAAGTAATCTCTACAAACAACATGGGGCTCAAACTTACAACCCTTCAATCAAGAATCGCTTGCTCTGCAATCAAAAGTCGCTTGCTCTACTGAATGAGCCAGCCAGGTACCCGATCAATATCAAGAATTTAAACAGAAATATTGTTTGGCCCGTTGACCAAGAAGTGGAATTTGCCCTAAAGCTATGTACACCATGTTTGTTAACTGTATTTATAGTTCTGGGATAATTCATATAAATGGAAAGTAGAATTACACAAGAAGCCCAAACCATATAACAGTGCTGTTGAATGACCAAGGCCAGAACACTAATGCTATAGTCAAAGAACTCAGGCTGAGCATTAATTCTTTTGTTTGGGACTCAGGAAGCTCATATCAAACTTGTTCTTTGGTAAAGACGAATGCGCTTATGTGTTTTGGGGCCACGTCCCTGGGAAGCACCACAGGGAATCAAATAAAGAAGGTAGGAATTTGGAGGTGTGTAGGGGAAAACGAGGAAAGAGGGAAGTATGCCGTCAACACAAGGTGGGTCTTGAGAGGTGAATAAGAGG